CCGACTTCTGCGCGCGCCATGCAATCTCACGCGCGCCCACGGGCTCGGAGTCCAGCGCAACATGCATCCAGATCCTCGATGACAAGACAACGAGAATAATAGCGATGGGATGAGCGATCTTTTCCTCCAGCGGTTCGCGCGGCAAACGCGCCGGGCCCGTCGTCGCCCCTGGCGCTCGCAGCCGGCGCCTGGGAAAATAAGCAGGTGCCCCCGCGTCTGTAGACGGAGCCTCAGGTGTCGGGTTGCTGCGTCGCCGCGGCGCTCGCCTGTCCCCGTCGCTCTCTCTCTCTCTCTCTCTCTCTCTCTCTCTCTCTCTCTCTCTCTCTCTCTCTCTCTCTCTCTCTCTCTCTCTCTCTCTCTCTCTCTCTCTCTCTCTCTCTCTCTCTCTCTCTCTCTCTCTCTCTCTCTCTCTCTCTCTCTCTCTCTCTCTCTCTCTCTCTCTCTCTCTCTCTCTCTCTCTCTCTATATATATATATATATATATATATATATATATCTTTCTCTTTCTCTTTATTTATTTATTTATTTTGTTCTCTCTCTCTCTCTCTCTCTCTCTCTCTCTCTCTCTCTCTCTCTCTCTCTCTCTCTCTCTCTCTCTCTCTCTCTCTCTTCTCTCTCTCTCATCTCTCTCTCTCTCTCGAGCGCAAGCAGCGCCCGCGTCGCCGCCTGCCTCGGGCCCCTGTCCGGGCTGTAGCCCACTGAGTCACCCGGCGAGATCGGCGTCGCACTGCTCGAGGTGACGATGTCGCATCTCTCGACAGCTGTCGCCGCGCCGCTCACAGCGGCAGGTTGCCCCGCAGTAGCGGGCCGTTTCGTTGCGGATGGCCTGGTGCACCTTCGCCCGCAGGGCCCTCGCGGCCAAGTCCTGATCTCGAGGCGTAGGCTTGCTCCATCGCAAGGTATCTTTCTGATGCCAGGTCGCCAGCGCGTGGTCCACCATTGTCTTGGTCGCGAACGTGAGCGTGTCCTCGTTCACGCCGTGGCTGGCGCCTCTTGCGTTCTGCGTCATCATGTAGACGTGGACATCCACAAGAGCAGGTTGCCCCGCGCAACTTGGCGCAGGTTGGCCTGCAATAGGCGCCGCGTCGACGGTCTCCTCAACGACGTGACGCAAGGGTGTGCCCTCGCGTTTGGGTGTGGCCGTAATGGTGAACGCTGTAGCTCCACCGGCCTCCGTCGCCACGTCGTGCTCATCGACCTTAATCGCCAGGTGTCCTGATGGCGTCTTCACTTGATCAATCACCCGAGCGCCTTGCCGCCTGCACATGCCAGTGCCTGTGATGAACATCACCTCGTTGCCGTTCTCCGCGCATGTTCGACATGCTCCCCAGGCCCAATATTGCGGGCAGGTTATCGCCGGGCCCCTCGGCCGCATTGGCGGAATAAGTGTCCAGCTTGGCAATGGCGAGTTGCCCCGCAGGGTTACCCCTGCTTGCGTAGGCGATGTTGTAGTGGCCGGACGTCCTGCACTCTGCAGCTCTAAGAGCCCGCCCCAGTCACGCACAATGGTCTGCTCCAGCTCAACCTCCTTATGTCGTGACGGTGGGCACGCGAGACCCGCTCAAACGTGCGCACAATCTTGAGACCGACGATGTTTATGTTGCTGCCGATGTCCAGCAAAATAGACAGCATTCCATCGATCATGGTACCGCTGTTTGCCGCTAAGGCTAACTCGTGGCAGTCACCAGAAACGCCCTGGACAATGGCCATCGTTGTGCCGTACATGCCCTTCAGGCGCCTCTGGTCCAATACCCGCTCATTCTTACGCATCGACGTGGATACCCTCATGTCGGCACGTGACTCTTCCTCCGTGATCGGATATCGCTGGGAAATCAAATCGGTCGGGTACTCATCCCATTGAGGCGCCTGCTGCGTCAATGAGATGTCATGAGAACTGTCCTCGTCGGCGCGCACCGTAATCTGGCCATCGGTGCTGACCATCAGCACCGTCTACAGCATGTCTTATTCGGACATAACCGCATGAAGCCATTAAGGAATCCCCCGGGATTATCAGTAGCACCACACCGTAATTAAATAATTCTGGGGGGGGGGGCGGTCTTCGCCGAACGATATAGTTAACACCGCGCACGTGGAACGACAATGAATAATTCCCGCGGCCTGGCCCGGGTGGTATCCCAAGTGGAATTGGAGTAAGAATAATGATAATACTAGTAATGATGGTACGAATAATGATGTTATTATAATAAAGCTAAGAATATTACGACGAATTCCACTAGTAATGATAATGACGATAAGAGCGATAGTAATAATACTAATACTCAGAGTGAGCATACAAGTAGGAATAATACTACGAATAAACGCAAAAATCATAATCAGAATAAGAATACAAACCGACATATAAAAATACAAATGGTAAGAATAATACTGATAATATAAACACAGCTCATAATACGAACATTGAAAATAAAGTATGATATGGATAATACGAATAATACCAAGAATGGGACGAATATTAACAATGCGAATACGTATGCGAATCCGAATCATACTGCGAATATGAATGCGAATGAGAATAATTAAGAGGATACGAGTATGAATCATAAGTGATTTAAGAATACGAATAAGAATTAAAGGACGAGTTTTCTCATTATCTTCATCCTCGTTGCCCTATACGATTTGTATACCACCCCTCTTGAAGTTTTGTTTTTCCCCGTCCGTCGTGTGGGGTGATGCATCCGAAGATATCGCCCCCCCCCCCCCCCACGCACGGCGCGTTATCTTAGCACCGCACCCGCGCAAAACAATTACGGCAGCTTGTCCAAAAAACAAGCAGCACCACAATACCAATAATCGTATTAATAACAATACCAATAATACTAATAATACTAAAGATAAAAATGCGAGATAAGAACAATACTACGAATACGAGTAAGGACAACAATAACATATTCATCCAAAAACAGACGGGTTCCCCTGCATCTTCCCCCCCTCACTCCTTTCTTTTTCTTCTCATTTTCTTCATCATCCTTGTCCTATACGGTTCTGATTACCACCCCTTTTGAACAATTGTTGATTCCCGGCCGTCGCATGGGGTAGCGCATCCGAGGATCTCGTCCCCGCCACGCACGGCTCGTTATCTTAGCACCCGCACAGCCAAAATTACTCGCCCCCCATCGTAGGCATTGACGGTTTCCCCTCGCGTAGGACATAATGTTGATATTGCTGGTGTTGGCGGTGTTGGCGTTTTGATGTTGATGTTGCTGTTGGTGTTGCTGTGATTGGCCTTCTTGTTCTAGATCTACTTATGATTGCTGGTATTAGTGTCGTTGTCCGTGTTGGTGCCGTGCCGTAAGGGAGTCTTGAGGAGGAGAAGCAGGAGGACGATTTGATCTATTTACCTGGGCCAGGGCCTCTTGACTGCGGCCTTGGCGCTCTGCTTGATCCGTAATGGCGAATAAGAGCCAACATATTGCGAGAACGTCTCAGGCGGTTTGCTTGTTTTGGCGAGCAGACCCGTCTGCGTTCACATAAAGGTGCGAGATGCCAGGGTAGCGCTTCTGGGGCGCCGGGTGCGTTATACTTTCGCCGGAGAGGGGGGAGTCCTTAATTGCTGGATGCGGTTAGCGCTGGCGGCCCGGCGCTGGCGCCACTGCGCACACTGACCGGACTGTCAGCGCGGCGCTGGCGTAGCGGGTTACCCCACATCCTGCCGTAAGGCGTGTTTGCCCTTTCCATGCGGCCCACCTGTCGGCGACTTCTGACAGTGTGTGACCCAGCCTCGCGCATCACGCCCCATCCACGGTGCGTGACGCGCGGCTCTCGCGCCCCCCCCCACCACCACTTTTCGACCCCCCCCACACGGCTCGCGACCCCGCGCCGTCGGCCTGGGGAAGGGCGGCTCTCCGACCAAGGCTGCGAAACCAGTTCGACCAGCGCCCTGCGGGCGACCCAGCTGAACACACAATGTGTGGCGAGGAGCGCACGCGTTCCTCGTAGCAAAATGTGGTCCGCTAGAGGAGGCGAGGTCCTCCAAGCGGCGGCAGCAAAAAGTGGAAGCGCAGCGGACTCCAGCGCAGGGCGCAGCAGTCCTCCCCCCTCTGCCCCCCCGACCTGCCTGGCTCCTTCGCCTCCCTCCTCCGCCCCCCTTCTCCCCTCCCTTGCCTCACACCCTCCTCCCCTCCCCAATATTATTCCGCCTCTGACGCCCCAATCTGAAAAGAAGACCGGACACCATCCGCCGCTATCGGACGGTCCGCAGCGTCCCTCCTCCCTCCTCCTGCGGCTCTTCTCCCTCCTCCTTCTCCTCCCCCGTCCTCCTCCTTTTCCTCCTCCTCCTCATCCACCTTCTTGCCAGGAAGGGAAGAGGATGAGGAGGCAAGGGGGGGGGCAAGGCAAACAAAGATAAGGACATCCCGGGCGCATTCGCATCTCATCTGGAAGCCCATTTGAATAAATAGATTCGCAACCGAACTCAAGACTGCCTGCGGCTGCTCCCCCCCATGCCCATGCTCATGCTCCTCCTCACTGACCTCGTGACCGCCCCTCCTCATTCCCGTCCTCCAAGGGTCTCCCCCCTCTCATTCTCTCGATCCCCCTCCACCTCACTCCCCTCCTCCACCTCCTTCCCCTCCTTTTTCCTTTCATCCTATGCTTCCTCCTCCATCCTTCTCCCCCCCCCACCTCCCCCCCTCCGTACCTCCATCACCCTCCCCGCTCCCGCCTCCCCCCTCCCGTCGGCATCCTGCCGCCTGCCTCGTTCCGCCTCCTCCTCCTCGTTAGACGAGCGCGTTCCACTACTCGCAAAGTACCTACTCGCAAATGGCCTGGATACGCTGCGGGGGACCTACGACAAATCACATCAACGCCGACACGTGGTTTTCGGACATTTGCGAGCAGGCATTTCGAGTAGTGGAGCGCGCTCGGTGACTCGGGCTCGCTCCCCCCTGCCTCCTCCCCTCCTGCCTCCCGCCGCCTCCCTTTGCGCCCGCCTCCTCCGTGGCGCGCGCTTGCGGCAGCCACGGGCCCCGCCCGAGCCCCGCCGTCCCACGCCAGCCCGCGCGGCTTGCTGAGCCCCGGCGCCACGTTGAAGACGGGCCCGCCGTACCTCCGCCAGAGATTTGTTTCCGTTGCTGCTGTTCTTCACTGTGACTCGGCAGACCCCCCCCGCGTCTCACCGCGCTCATCTCAAGACCAGCGCAGCGGATTTATCTCTATATATATATACACACATACATATACATATATACATACTAGAACCACGCGCGCGCTTCGCGCGCGCTTAGGTTCTCTCGAGTCACAGACCCAGGGGCTCTCTTGGGCCGCCTTTGGAGCCTCTTGGGGCGTCCTGGGTCTCTCGTGGGGGCTTCTTGGAGCTCTCTTGGCGCCTCCTGGAGCCTCTTGGGGCCGAAAGCTCGGAATTCTACAGTGGCTTTCTCCCTCTGGGACCCCTCTCGGGCACGCCTTGGGGCTCTCTTAGGCCATTTTGGAGTCCAATTTTGCAGTCCTGGGCGCCTCGTGAACCGTCTTGGAACTCTCTTGGGGGCCACCTAGGCCGTCTTGGGAGCCTCTTCGGACGTGTTGGACGCGGTGAAAACCCAACAGGCGACCATGCGAAAAATATACGTTTTCCCATAGGAATGGGCTAATTTTTCCTTCTTGGACCTCTCTTGGGGTGCCTCTCGGAACGTCTTGGGCTGATTTTGGAAGCCTTTTTGGCGCCTCTGGGCGGCGTTTTGGCGCCTCCTGAGATATGTTGGGCCGGAAGCTCGGAATTCGAGAGTGGCCGTCCTGAGCCACTCGTGCGCAGCCTTGGAGCGCTCCCGGAGGCCTCCTAGGCCGTCTTGGAGGCCTCTTGGGCCGTCTTGGACGCGGTGAAAGCCCAAGATGCGAACATGCGAAAAATATACGTTTTCCCATCGGAATGGCACGATTTTTGTTTCTTGGACCTCTCTTGGGGTGCCTCTCGGAACGTCTTGGGGTGCTTTTGGGAGCCTTTTGGCGCCTCTTGGCGGCATTTTGGCGCCTCCTGGAGCCTCTTGGGCTGGAAGCTCGGAATTCGAGGTTGGCTTTCTCCGTCTGGGACCCCTCTCGAACTCGTCTTGGGGCTCTCTTCGGCCGTCTTGGGGCCGTCCTGGGCCACTCGTGCGCAGCCTTGGAGCGCTCCCGGAGGCCTCGTAGACCGTCTTGGGCGCCTCTTGGGCCGTCTTGGACGTTGTGAAAGCCCAAAAGGCGAACATGCGAAAAATATACGTTTTCCCATCGGAATGGCACGATTTTTGCTTCTTGGGCCTCTCTTGGGCTGCCTCTCGGAGCGTCTTGGAAGCTTCTGGGACCTTTTTGGTGTCATGACAGGCGTCTTGGAAGGCATCTGGAGCCATCGGAGCGCGTTCCGAAGCCGCCTCGGACGCCGTCCAGGACGGCGTCCAGCGGTCCGACGAGCCTCCGGGCCCCCCGGGCCCACATTTGTGGTCGGGGTCCCGGCCCCGGGCCCCCGGACCCGGTGCGCCGTTATATGTATATGTGTATGTATGTATCCGCCCTTTTCTGCAGTCGTGATGAACAAAAACACACAAAATGAGCATACACACGAAACGATCCTTATGGATCTCGTTGTATTGCGGCCGACATAACAGTGTCTGCGGAGGGACAATATGCTGGAGCTCCACCACCAGCACCAGCAACAACACCAACAGCAGCACCCGCACCATTCGCTACCAAAGATCACCTAATTCACCGTTGTTGCCCACGTTGTTTCACTACGCGCCTCTCTTCATCCCTTCTCCCGTCAGCTCTCCTGGGTATCATTTCTGGATGGGCTGGTGGGGATATTTTTTTGGTCGCGTCCACCAGCGAGAGCGCGAGCGGAGTCAAAAACGCTCCGGGGCACTAGGCGGCGGAGGGGCTGGTGGGGATTTTTTTTTGGTCGGCGGCCGCTCGACGGCGGTCTGGCGGCGACAGGCTATGTCCGGGACGGCGGTGCAAGCTAATTGCGCACAAAGCGTGCGATGCACGTGCACTGAGCAACATGCTCCACATTCGCAGAGACGCACCTAGGCGCCGCCCAGTCCAGAGTCTGGTGGGGATATTTTTTTGATTGGCGGCTCCGAGGACAGATCCTGGAAGCGGGGCGGACGCGGCTGGGGCACAGAGCGAGATAATTAGCCGCAGAGGCGCATAGGCCACTGAAGCGAGTGCACATGCAAGGGACGAAATGACCCTCATTGGGGGCTGGCGCTGGCGGCCCGACAGAGGGGAAGGAAACACAAACCTGGAAGCGGACGGATGGGAGCTGTCGCGCACGTGGCGCCAAGCTCCAACCGTACTGGACAGCGCGACACGCTGCACTGCGGCGGCACGGGGTGGCCAGGCGTGGCCGCACCGTCCATGCAACAACAGGCGAGGCAAGAAACAGGAGAGACACGGCGGGCGCAAGGGCACGCGGCAGTAGGAAAATGGGAGGGCACAGATGGAAGCCTCACTCACAGTGACTCAAGGGACGCTCTTGGGCAAGAGAGCGACCAGAACCCAGTCAAGCCACGGTCTACCGTGTCGTCTGAGCCCACAGCCTGCAACTTGTCCGACACTGAGGATCGGGGGCGTAAAGCTGCAAGCACTGGTCGAGTCACATGGCCCAGCCTGCAGGGGGGACCGTGATGATCTGCCAAAGGATGAACCATTGTGCAGGAGCTGAACGCGAAGGCGACGACCACACTGGGTAGTCTGGCGCCAATCTGGCAGGCCCAATCTGGCAAACGGGGGCAATCTGGCGATGGAGCCAACGCGAATCCAGTCTGGCGAATAACCCAAATCATCCAGTTTGGCCGGGCCAGATTGGCCCTTGGGGCCCAATCCAATCTGACAGTCTGGCCTTCGACTACCCAGAGAGGGGGGACCGAACCACGAGGCGACAGGGGAGATGAGAGAAGCGCAGAGTCCCTGCTTGACCGCACGCGGGTGGCGCCGATCTCTGAGCCCGGCGCTCGTTCTGGGGACTTTCCTGGGGCCACTCGCTCCACTCATGCGCCGATGCTGCGACGACAGTCCATCGACTTAAGCCGAATTTGACTCGAACTCGCGTCGAGAGAGAATCAAATCGAAATCGAGCTAAATGCAAACAAATCCGTCAGGCAAACCCCAAAAAGGCCCAAAACTAAACGCCAATTACGAAACCCAAAACGATGCGGTGACAGACCGCGCGGTGGCCTCGGAACCTCAGGAGACCTCACCGCACGGTCTGTCACCGCACGGTGTGGGGACCTGGAGGCCTCAGCTACCCGAGACGTCCTCGGAGAACGACACAAACCCTAAAGACGTGCGGTCACGTCGGCTCGCCCGCCCTTCGTTGTCCTTGCCTGGCCCGCTGTTCTTTCTCGGCCTGCCCCGCAGTCCGAACAAAAATTGCGGCGCTGCCTGTTGGGCGTGTGGAACAACTGTCGCTGTCATTTGCACTGTCCCGTGTTTCCCGGCTGACCCTCGAACACATAACAACGGCAGAAGCATACAATTTCGGAGCTCCGCGCGGATTTCTTGGATCGGCGTTGGACCCCCCTCCCTGGCGCGCGGAGCGCGCCATTTGCGGCGCCAGAAGCGCCACCAGCGGGGCCCAACGCCGATCCGAGAAACCAGCACGGAACTCTGGCAGTTTCGGTTTGCGCCGCTTTTTTCTCCTCCGAGATTCACCACGCGGTGCGGTCACAGCATGATTGACGCCCCCCCCAGTCCAACGCCACCCAAAGCTTCTGGGAAGGATCTGCCTCGGGACCCCAAGACATCTTCGGCTGCTCGGGCCCGGCAGGGGGGGTCCGCCGCAGCTGCGCCTCGTGGGAAAGGCCTCCACGGTGCTGCCAACATTGCCAACATTGCTGATGACCTCAGAGGACTAGGGCGTGCCACTCTATACCACGACACTCCAGCAGAAGCTTGGCTCAGAAGACGACGACGATCTCTGCCTAGCGCTACCGACCGGCGCAACGGACACACCCGCCGAGATATGTACGATAGTACCCAGCTTGTGTTATGGACGGGCCAGCTGCGTAGACAGAATGGAACTCTGAGGAAGCATGGGCGGCATATCGCAACTTGCTTTCAAGACAAAGCTGACCCCCCGATGAGACGCGACAAACTTCACAACGCTGACTTAGGAATCCCACGGGCACAGCAAGCTGTGGAACGCGATCTGCACAGTGATACTATATTCGTCACAATTGTGATACTACGGCCCAACTGCGGATCCACAAGCTTGCCCTCCTACTCCAACGCACAAGTGAAACACGACACCAGGTATAAACACCACGAGAAAAAACCATCCCCACATCGCATTATGTGGTAAGGTCGCCGTCGCCCAAGACGACCAACAGTGCCTATTCGCTAGGGAACAACAAGCTGGTACGTGGGTTGACGGGATTGCCCCATGTTCGGCCCTAGCCAAACGCGAGGTCACTTGCACACAAATCATGGACCAATGCTCGACAGGGCTACAAGACTCCCACGGCACACTCATCAGAAAATCGACCGAAATCATGGCCAACCACAGGGCAGTCCTTACACCCTTTGAACACGAAAGATGCTCTGGGCATCACGGACATGCCCAAGCATGCAACCGATAACTAGCACAGGCGGCACGATACATACCGACGATGCAATCCCTGATCGTTGACGCGGTCAAGATTGCACGAGTCCTTTTTCGCACGAGGTAGAAGCCCATTCGCAGATCGGACACAGACAAAAACTTTTGCGGCACCCAGTGTCGGTCACGTTTTAGACGATCCTACTTCACCTCGGAAAACTAATGGTCCATCCGCCGATCACCGCCGGGCGGGCTGGGTTGTCCAACGCGCGCCGATAACGCGCGCATGAACTCGCCGCGGCACAGCCGCAATCCGCGACAATGTCGGCGGTTTGAAATGAATCCCACTGCTGGGAATGGCCAAGCTGCAAAAAGGACCGTGGTAAAAACAAACGGGGCCATCTGCTAACATCGGGCACTTGCCGTCGCTCGGACGTCAATTTCCCGTGCATTTTTCGGTTTCGTGCGTTTTTTTGGGGGGGGTTTTGCTCGATGGTCCAGGATGGTCCTCGATGGTTTTCGCCGAGAACAAATGCACC